CTTGGAGACCACGGAGGAGGTACCCATCCAGAACGCCGACACCGGTGTCCGAATACCATCTTCCAATATATCAATCTTTACCTCTCGACCATTTCGAGACTCCTTGTCATGTCCGTGATCTCATCCGGGACTCCGAACATACTTCGGTCACCAAAACACATAACTCATAATACAAATTGTCATTGAACGTTAAGCGTGCGGACCCTACATGTTCGAGAACTATGTAGACATGACCGAGACACATCTCCGATCAATAAACAATAGCGGAACCTGGATGCTCATATTGGTTCCTACCTATTCTACGAAGATCTTTATCGGTCAAACCGCAATAACAACATACGTTATTCCCTTTGTCATCGGTATGTTACATGCCCGAGATTCGATCGTCGGAATCATCATACCTAGTTCAACCTCGTTACCTGTAAGTCTCTTTACTCGTTTCGTAATGCATCATCCCATAACTAACTCATTAGTCACATTGCTTGCAAGGCTTATAGTTATGTGCATTACCGAGAGGGCCCAGAGATACCTCTCCGATACTTGGAGTGACAAATCATAATCTTGATCTATGCCAACCCAACAAACACCTTCGGAGACACCTGTAGAGCATCTTTATAATCACCTAGTTATGTTGTGACGTTTGATAGCACACAAGATGTTCCTCCGGTATTCGGGAGTTGCATAATCTCATAGTCAGAGGAATATGTATAAGTCATGAAGAAAGCAATAGCAATAAAATTTAACAATCATTATGGCATGCTAACGGATGGGTCTTGTCCATCACCTCATTCTCTAATGATGTGATCCCGTTCATCAAATGACAACACATGTCTATGGTCAAGAAACTTTAACCATCTTTGATTAACGAGCTAGTCAAGTAGAGGCATACTAGGGACACTCTGTTTTGTCTATGTATTCACACATGTACTAAGTTTCCGGTTAATACAATTCTAGCATTAGTAATAAACATTTATCATGATATAAGGAAATATAAATAACAACTTTATTATTGTCTCTAGGGCACATTTCCTTCAGTTATTGCCATTATTGCTTTCCCCCATCATTGTTGTTGTCTCCACCGTTGTTATCGCTTGGGGTGCCTACCATGTAGATTTCGTAGGTGAAGGTTGTCGTCTACTTAATCGCATGCATGGTGGCTGTAGGTGGCTTGTCTGAGGACGCGCTGACCTCCTGGTCCATTCCGTCGACCTCATCGGAGGCGCTTGTAGGGATTTGAGTTAAGTCATCAACGTTGGCGACAAAGATGGCCTTAGTTGACATCGGGCCCTTGGGGGGCGAACCCGAACCATGTCTTAAAGTGGGATCCGATGAGGAGCCCTTACTTTCGTCTTGAGCCAGATTTGACATCGAGGGCGGGGCACGCGTCTCATGTTGATCCTTGGTCTGGTTTCATACCTAACTCGTGAAGACCAGCTCTCTGCGGGAACCCATGGTGTACTCCAAATTGCCGATCTAACAATTCAGCCCAAAGTAAAGATTTCGACCTGGCCTTGGTGACCAGTCGAGTCAGTGAAGAGGGTGATGTGGCCAAAAATGAAGATATGTCCTGTCACAAAGGTCATGCCACTGTCGATTAGCGGGACATATATGGGCCACCAATGACGAAGCTAAATCCGACGGATCTTGGGTAGGGGGTTCCGAACTGAGAGTTTAGAGATGATGGTAACGAGGACGCAAGTTTTTACCCAGGTCCGGGCTCTTCGGAGAACCATACGCACTGCTTGTGTTTATTTCTTTTGGGTGGAGTACAAAGTACAGATGATCTACCATGAGATTCTATGTGTCTCCTACGAGTCCACTCTCCTCAGTTTATACAAATATCGGGGGCAGGGGTCTAGGGTTACCTCCTACTCGACTACGTACATGGAGAATGAGTTGTAGACGATTTATTCCCCATGGACCGCCTGACGTGGCCCGCTCCTGAACCACCATTGGGGTCTTAGGCCCGACCCACCTGGCGGGAGACAACGTGGTCAGGAATCCTCTAGCCGGGACATCATCACAATATGTCGCCGACTTTATGTTTATGTGTGGGGCATCACAAACGCCGACATTGTTGTTGACTGTCGCCGGTGGCTGGAGCCACTCGAAATCACTAGTTAGAGGGTATCCCTTGCAAAGGTCACTCTCACCTTCTCCCGTGGTGATGTGGCGCACTACATGTGTTACACTTGTCACAGCCTGAGAGTTTTGTGCTTTTTTCGTTCATTCGTTTCATAAAATATTTTTATCTCTTGAACTGTACGTCCAAATCACAAATCATTTTCACTATTGTGTTTCTTACGATCAAGATCTTCGAAACTAGATCTCATGTTAGTAGTTGTAGACATTTTTTAAAGGCCGAGAATTGAAAAAAAAAATGAAAACCCCGAAAACCTAAAAAACCTGGAAACAGAAAAAGAAACCGAAAGCACATATGTGTTTTTCATCTTTTGGAAGTACACCTGTGTTTTTCACTTTCTGGGAAGCATAATTGTGCTTCACCGTGAAACACAATTGTGATTATTATTTTCTGGAAAGTACAGGCATGGAAAGCACAAATGTGCTTTTCGCCGAAGCACAATTCTGCTTTTCCGTGAAGCGCAACTATCTCTTTTCACAAGGTATGCTTCACGTGACAAAAACAGAAATAAAGTACATTTTTTTTAACAAAAACATAGGGAAAACCAAAGAAAATCCAAAAACCTAAATAAACAGAAAAAACACGTGAAAATAAACATGATCATGTGGATGTGCCCAACGCGTGACACTTGGCGGCGACTGGCGCACCATGCGGCGGCCTCCATATGGCCTCACGCATCTGCCGGGACCCCCTCGCAGGAGTACCCATTGAATAGTCTTTTTTAGGGGTACTCGTTGAATAGTCACTGCGGGGAGGCACTAGGCAGGGGTGGATCTACAAAATGGACAATGTGGGTTGTTGTCCACCCTAAGATTTTAATTAGATCGGCTCATGGAAATTAAAATGACGGGCTGGATGAGAAAAAGAAATGTCGAACAAATCTCGTCCGACCTTAACTTCTGGCCCAACAAAAACGCACGAACAATCACATTGCGCCTGCGCGCTAGAAGCTCCTATGCAACGCCCTTGGCGCCGGTTGAACCAACTGGCACTCGCACGCGAAAGCTTATGGATTGGCCCAACTATGTTTTTGTTAAATCCATTGACTGGTGGCCCAGTGATCGTTGACCGTCACCTATCATCCCTTGACCAAGAAGAGTTGACTATTGAGTTTTACAAAAATAAAGAAAAGGTAACAAAATGTTAAATCTAGAAAAAAAAATTCGTGAATTTGAAAGAAGTTCAGATTTTTTTAAAAGTTCACAAAAATAAAAAAAATGAATTGTAAAATGGGTTCACAAGATTTGAAAAAATTCTGTAATTTGAAAATTTTCACAAAATTTGGAAAAAAGGATCAAAGAAAAATTCACTGATTTGAAAAAAAAAGTTCGCAAATTTGATTTTTTTTTTTCAAATTCTTGAAAAGTTCACGAAATAAAGCGAACAATGAAATAATAATAAATAAAAAGGATAAACGAAAATAAAAGGAGGAGACCGGAAAACTCATGCTGGGAAAAAACGAGAAAACCCGCCCAGAAAAACCGGCAGAATGTTCCCCAAAAAACGGTGACAAAAAGACCTACATGGGCTGGCCCATTTTGATATGTAGTGCTGTGGATGTAAGTAGCGCATAAGGCGCCAATTGGGATTTGGGCTGCGCGCCACTGCCTCCGCCGCTTCTGATCACGACGGCTCGCTACCTGCTCGTCGGTCGCTGTCGCCGCCTGCCTCGCCGCTCCTCCCCGCCCGGCGCCCATCGCCACCTCGCCCCAGCCAGCTGAAATTTCTGATAGGGTTCAATTTTCACCCTCTACGTCGGCCGTTGCTCCGTTAATCAGGGCAGGAAATGGCTCGCACGGCCACTCCGCTCTCGGCGCTGCTCCGCGGCCTCTCTTCCCGCCCTTCCCACTCCCCCGCATTCCACGCCGCGCTGCTCAAGTCATCTTCCCTCTCCAGCCCCATCCCGGCCACCGCCCTCCTTACCGCCTACGCAAAAGCCGGCCTCCCAGGCGCCGCCTCCCGCCTGTTTGACGAAATGCCCGTGCGCGACGCCGTTGCCTGGAACGCGCTCCTTGCATGCCATGTCCGTCACGCGCGCTGCGGTGCCGTCGCTGAAGTCTTCCGCGGCATGGCGGCTGCCGGGTTCGCGCCAACGGCCGCCACCCTCTGCACCATGCTCAAGGCCTGTGCTTCCTCCCGCGCAGTCCGCCCCGGCCGCCAGGTTCATGCGCGGACAGTTCTTGCATGCCACGGTGATGTCATTATGACGACAGCTCTTGTTGATCTCTACATGAGCTGCGGCTGTGTCGAGGAGGCGAAGAGGCTGTTTATCCACACGGACTGCCCCAAGGACGTGGCGCTGTGCAACTCTGTTCTTTCAGGATGCGTGGAGAATGGCCAGTTCCGGGAGGCTTTCTTGATGCTGAGGGGAATTGAACTCAATGGAATCACACTGACTTGCGCTCTCACAGCTTGCTCAGCCGCAGCAAATCTGGCATACGGCCTTCAAGTGCACTGCAAGGTTCTCCGATGCGGGTTTGATTCTGAGACTGTCCTATGCAATGCACTTATTGACATGTATGCAAAGTGTGGGCGGACAACGGCTGCACGTGTGGTGTTTGATCGGATGACTTGCAGAAACATTGTTTCCTGGTCTAGCATGATTGATGGTTATAGTCGCCATGGGCATGGCAAAGAGGCTTTGGATTTGTTTGAGGGGATGGAGAAAGCTGTACCCATTGTCTTGCCTAATGCTATTACATTTCTTGCTGTTCTCTCAGCTTGTGGACACTCTGGTCTTGTGGATGAAGGCCGGTCCAAGTTACATCTGATGAAAAGAAAGTATGCAATTGATCCAGGACCAGAGCACTACGCATGTTTTATTGACATGTTAGGCCGGGCAGGACTGATTGATGAGGCATGGGATCTCTACTGTTGTTTACATTCGAATAAAAGTCAGCTCCATGGTGCAATCTGTGTGGCTATGCTGAATGCATGTATGGCTAACATGGATGTGGCAAGAGGAAACATGGTTGCTGAGCATATTATGGAGGTTGATCCACAGAATCCTCGAAATCTTGTGTTAATATCAAATTTTCACGCTGCTGCTGGACAATGGTCTATATCAGATGGATCAAGGAAGGTTATAATGGACAAGGGTCTCAATAAAGAAGCAGCTAGTAGTCATGTCTCCATTGGCTAAAATTAATTTACACAAATATGGAGGTACAGTTCATCGACTTACCTGCATACACTATAAGAGTGTAATCAACAATTGCTTTTTCTTTTAAAACAAACCTACAAATCAATGTTGCTAACTGGTTCGTGGCGGGGCCTTTTTTTATATTTAAAATCTATTATTGCTTGAACCCAGCCTGAAACATTCAGTTTATCTTGGTTCTTAAGTGCTTAACTGGGTCCTACGACAGTTGCGATTATTTGATACGTGTACAAGGACTAAATGTGAACCAGCATAGTGAGGTCACATGATCATCATCTGGAATTGTCAAAAATTGTTTCAGCAAAACTCTATCCTGCACAGATTAGTTTAGGTTTTAAGCATGTGTAACTTGCACACCAAAACAGAGGTGAAATAACCAATTTCAACATCTGCTTAGCTTGATGGTTCCTGGAGATCAAGTTCTGCTGGTACATGAATATAGGCTATGACAGTATTCTGAAATTAATCGTCAAATTTAATATTGGTGGTACTAACTGAAGTACATGTCCTTTTCTGAATATAATGGTGAAGTGTAATCAAAATTTGGATCCTAAAGTGCAGTCATTTATCTGACAAAAGCCTCATTTTACAAGTTTCCCTGGTCCTCCTAGCAGTATAATTACTCCATTTATCCCTTTGTTCAGAACAAGCATGTAACAATACACATGACAGAGCAACACCACAGAGGCTTTAAGTTTCAGGACATGTTAGTATTTTCATAGATAGGGTGCATGTGAACCTGTTAAATCAGCGTAAAGGTACATGTGCTAACAGGTAGTGATCTTGGTTGAAATAATTCCCTATAGATGCTTCTGTAGTCTACAAATCAATATCATGACGAGTACACCTTGTATTTGAACATGCTGTGAATCACTACCTACTTTGCATGACAAGATGAACTAATTGTCTAATTTTATCCTCATGCATGTTGACAAGAACAAGATACTACATGATCGTGGCTTACATGACATGCAACTTGGCTATTCTTGACTTTAGCCTACTGCTATGACAGTTTAGAAATTACATGGTTATGTATTTCTTTGATCAGTCTATTGAACTGAAACACAAAACACATGATAATATAATATTGTCCTTGGCCTGTAGTTTACTTCTATGTGATGCCTTGAGAAGAAAAGGTGAAAAATATGAGAACAGATGCAATGTAATCTGCTCCTAGAAGATTTTACGATGGATATGAAATTGGATATTTCAGTATCCACGACCACACAATAATCTACTCCCTCGTCCCATATTAATTATCCATCCATTTCAGCGTCAATTAATATGGGACGGAGGGAGTATGATGCAATCAACTATTTGAAGTTGCAGGTCAATGTAATTTAATTATACCATTGCTGGTTTACATATTTAAGTGAGTTCGGGCTAATCTTCATGCTATTTCTCACCACACCTCACTAAACTTGTCTCTGAAGTAACATTTATGCAATGGATCATGATAGTTTACGATATATCATTGTACTCTTGCTGCTGGTGCTTCCTTAGGGCATCTCCAGCCGGCCCCCCGGATGCCCCCCACGAGCACTTTTTGGACGCCGGCGCTTAATTTTTCTCCCAGCCAGGACCCCAAGAGCTCAAATAGCGCCGAATTTGGCTGAAGTTACGTCCGGCGGTCCCGATCCAAACCCAAAAAGCCGGGGGGCACTTGGGGGCGCCGGCTCTCCTTTTTGCATGCAAAACCCCCACATGTCGGCCTCTCTCCTCACTCTCTCTCCTCTTTTTCCTGCTAGGCCCACCCGTGCATGTGGGAATCTTTCCCTCGCCCAGCCCCGCCTTCTCCGTCCCGCCCCGCCGAGCTCGCCGCCCCGCCTGCTCCGCCCGCGCGCTCGCCTCCGCCCCTGCAGCCTCCCCCGCCGGCTCGCGCTCGAGCCCTCCTCTGCTCCGCCAGGTCGCCTCCCCCACCTCGCTCTGGCTCGCGCTTGCCTCCCCCGCCGTGCTCTGGCTCGCGCTCTCGCGGCTGTGTTGCTTGCTTCGGGTGGAAGGCTTTGCTTGGACTACGTGGCGCCGCGGCATGGGCGGGCGCCCGACTCCGCCCCCGCGGCATGCCGGAGCCGCGGCAGCTCGTCCGCCGGCGTGTGGCTGTGGCGTGGCCGGGCCGGAGCTCGCTGCGTGTGGCCATGGCGTGTGGGCGGGCGGGCGAGCGGGCGCGGCGCTGCCTGGGCGGACGGGCGCGGCTGTGGGCTCGATCGTCCTCGCCCTCGTCGTCGGGAGAGCAACAAGGAGGAGGCTTCGGCCCCGTCTACAAGGCAAGCGACCAGCAACCTCCTCCTCCTCCTTGTTGCTCACGCCGTCGTCCTCGCGCGGTGCCTCGGCGACGCCGTCGTCGGGAAGGAGCAGGAGACAGTGGAGGACGCCATGATGAGGTAGGGCGCAGCTGTGGCCTGGACGGTGCGGCGCGGGCGGGACGCGTCTACTACGCCCGCCGGCCACCGCGTCCTGGGCGCCCGCCCCGTCCCCGTGCAGCCCGCTGACGGGGCGCGTCGAGGAGGCGAGCAGCGAGTGCGGCCGCGGTCAAGATGCTCGATGAAATGATGCTGCCTCCGTGGGAGCCCAGCGCTGCTCGTGCTCATGTCCGTGTGGTCTTCCGCCAGGCCTCCGTCGACGCTCGCGCTCCTCCGCTGGCTGGAGGTCGTCGACGCCGCCGCGGTCAAGGTGCTCGACGAAATGACGCTCCGATTGTGGGAGTCCAACGCTGCTCGTGGGGAGGCAACGAGTGAAAGTGGTAGCAGAACAAGACACAAGCAAACGCAAGAACCTATGCATGCTGCCCTCAAATACAAGGTTCTACCTTATTGGTTTGGGATCAATTTTGGTTGCGTAGCTCCGTGTAATTTATCCTCGCAGGCATCGATGTGGTCAGCAGGTGGCGACGGTCTCAGTCCTGGTATGCTCCTATGGCGATATGGTGTTACAGCACCCCTTTTGTGTGCCTCTTGCTGCTCACGGTCCTTCATCTCGACCACGCACTGCCTGCTGCTTGCTGTTGCCAGCACCAATGAATTGCCGTGGGGTTGGCCGTCCCGAACTTGAGCGATCTCTAGCTAATCTCTTTTCTTCCCCTTGTGATCTTGTGGTCTCTCCTTCCTACTCCTTAGTACCTGGCCTTCCTAAGTTACAGACTCACAGCCATGGCACCACGCCACCACCAAAGCTTGGGTTCTGGTGAGCATTGGCACTGTGGTGAGAAGGAGAGGCTCGTCGTCTACTGTTCTTTCTGTTTTCCCTTTTTTTCTAGTGAAAAGGTCTAGGAAAAATAAAGATTTTTTTATCTGTACTGCCTTTTCACAAATTAAACATTAACCTCGACAAAACCTTGACATTGTCAGTCTATGGAGGGAATCATGGAGAAGACAAGTTTTAACTGTGATTTCAATATCTTGTGGCCTTCGTTAAAATATAAAAACTGATGCTTCTTCTTCTACACATGTTGTGTGGTGATTCATGATATCCTGCAAAGCATCCAATGATGTTGATTGCAAGGAGCAACATGTTTCACACTCTTTTAGATTTCGCACCGAGGGAATTTGGAAATTTTTCGATCAGCCACACAAGAAGAAATGAATGTCAGTGCTAATGAAAAGGTGTAGGGATAATTAAGATTTTCTTATCTGTCTACATTTTCAAAAATTAACCGCAACATTGTCAGTCTATGGAGGGAATCATGGAGAGGAGAAGTTTAACTGAGATTTCCAAATTCTGTAGCCTTCGTTAAAATATTAAAGTGACGCTTCTGTCAAATTCTCAGATGCTCGTGTACCGTTTCACAATGTGATATTTCTTCTCATGCCTACTTAACAGCGATCCAAAAGGTGGTAAGAAAACATTGCTTCATGTAGATAGTCTGTTCAATTTCCATGAATTAAGCTCTTCATGTTTTGGTCATATTTAGTGGTATCATTTTTCATGTTTGTCTCTGCTGAGACAATTATAAGTTATACTACTGGACAAAGATTGTACATTGACACGGACTGCAAAACATACGCAGAAAGTATATATTCCACAACTTGAATCAACTAACATTTGACTGCAGAATCGTCCGACTTGAATGTATGTAGATAAATTGATATTTAGCTCCGAATTTAAAAAAATCAAGCTTACTGATGAAATATTATAGAGATAGCCTACCATTGCACTTACATAATAGTCTATTTTTACACTCCTTTAGCTTAGTTTTGTTTAGTTCTATACTGAACTGCAGATAATGTGGGATTGTTCTTTACCGGAAACTTTGGGATGACCATCAATGACTATCAACGGGCAGAACAATTACATATGTAGTCCAGGTATTAACAAAACAAAACTAGGTTAATTCAAGTGCTTTAAGTTTAGCACAAAATCTTTTTTAAGTGGATCAATCTGGAAAAATATCTCCCGATTTGCCTTTACCAACAGATAATTCATTCAATAACTTTATATTAGAACCATTGGGGGCTACAGTGTTACCATGAACAAACCAATTTACAATTTGGCGCGCGTGTACCCTCTAGTTCAAAACTCTGCATGTAGAGTCTCGAAGATTTGACAGTTGCAACCTACTTATAATCCGTTCAAGTTACCTATCACCACCGCCCATTTCTTTTGAGACCGTCTGATTCAGCAGAGACCGTAATCCACCAATGCCGCCTATCTGAGTCAGTAGCTCTGGAGGGAGAGACTTGCTGATGTGCTGAGCATTCGTGTTTCCTTTGTTTGACTTCCTTAGCCGTTTTATTACATTGGTCCACACCTTCGCAAGCCGTTTGTATTCTTCCAGCATGTCCAAGACATCCTTGACAGGCCGGCCAGATCCCCGAGCAATCCGAATAATTCGGGATTCCTTCATCAGCTTCGGATTTTCGCTGTCAAGCTCTACAATGATATTTGGACGTAAGCACAATAAACCACCAGGGTGTTGGTCTTAGTAATATATAAATACGCATGGGTCGGCCCACCAACCCAACTTACCTGCGTCTGTCATGGAATCCATCATCGTCATATACCGCTTTATCTTGGCCTCACCCTGCTTCTCATGTCCTTGTGGCATCAATTCAGAACTAAATCCAGGCAACATGGAGAAGATCTACAAAGATAAAAATAGTCAACATTTGATATGTTGTTCGCTATATCAAACAGCAATCGAGCCCTTGATTTACTGCGGTATTACATTTCACCATACATCCAAGAAAACTGAAAGACTAAAGCAAGCTTACCTGGTCAATAGAGCCAATTTTACCAAGGTTCTGGAATTGCTCGTACATAAGTCTCAGAGTAAAGTTTCCTTCCATCAGTCTCTTCATAAGGTCAGGTTGTTGATCAGCGGGTACGACTTGACGAGCCTTCTTCATCAAGCCCGGCAAATCTCCCATACCTGCCAATTGCACAATGTAAGGAGGCCAGCTAAAGGGAATACACAGGTAAGACGCCACACCTAATATTTACACTGACCTAATAGGCGACCAACAAATGGTCTCACATCAAAATCTTCTAGCTCGTCTTTGTGTTCTCCAGTTCCAATAAATATCACTGGACTTTTCGTTGCTGCGACACTGAAGAGAAACAAGAACGTTAGGTGTACTATTCTGAAATGTTAATGATGTTATGTACGCTACAGTGCTCTCAGGTTCTGATATGTTAATGTTGTTAATTTGTTATTCAATTCATAAACTAAGAAAGAGCAAATGGCACCAAGAGGGTAGTGTAAGAAAAGGGAAGTGAATACTAACGCGCTAAGTGCGCCACCTCCTTTCGCATGGCCATCCATTTTTGTAACAATTACAGCACCAACCGGAACACTTTGCCTGAATGCTTGGGCCTGAGCAAAGGCAGCCTGACCAATGCTACTGTCCATCACAAATATTACCAGGTCTGGTTTCTGCATGATATCGTCACAATGCAGGTGAGATTTTTTTTTCATTTGGTTCAGGTTATAACTGAAAGTAAGAGTTCTGAGCGTATTACCGTTGCTTCTGAAACTTGGCGCATTTCTTCAAAGAGGGCTGCTTCTTGTTTGTGCCTTCCACTTGTATCTACAATTATGAGATCGCAATTTTCTTTTCTAAACCTCTCCACGCCCTCAGCAGCAATTTTTACTGGATCAGATTCCATGTAGCTGCAGTGACACAACAATTAGTTAAAACAAGAGATAACAAATCATAATATTAGCAGTTGAAGTGATAAGAGGTACTAGTGTACCTTCCATAAAAAGGAACCATGATCTTTGTCGCATTCTGTTTTAACTGATCAAAAGCACCAGCCCTGAATGTATCAGCACAAACCAGTGCTGGTTTGAATCCTATCTTCTGATGATAATGAGCATATTTCATACAAGTGGTAGTTTTCCCAGAACCTGCATGAACAAGATGCTGCCTTGTGAACAGGATATTGTAATCATTGCAACCAACGTGCAGAAGACGTATAGCCGATCATTAGTGAGTCAGTCAACTAAACAACAGAAGCCCCACACCGAAGCCAAATAGTACGATAAGAATGCAATCTAATCACCAAAATGTCTCACTAATTACAAACTGCCCATCCAAGATGATAAAACTTGCAATAGTATATATTTCTTTTGCAACATATCAGGTATCCACCCCAAAGCAACATAAGAATGTTTGATCACTACAACTCCATTTACATGGCTTCTTGCATCACCAAAACAATCAGCTGGAGAGAATCATATGCCAGTAGCTGTAGCTCGACAAAGTAAACGTAACATGAAGGTGACTAAAGCTTGACCTATGCTAATTTGTTTCCATGGCTTGCCCCCCGTTAAATGAACGTATAAACAAGTTGGTAAACAGCTTAATCAGAATTAATCAAGTCACTATGAAAGTTAATATTGTTCTCCTAAAATTTTACCGTGAAATAATGTCCTCCAAAGGAATAACAGATGCTGCATATATATGTTCATTTGTGCGGATGCAATTGCTAAACATCAGGTATATATACCACAAAACAAAATTTGGACAGAATAACGAAGCAGCAGGCAGGGTAGACTGACCTTGCAAACCAACAAACATAACCACGCACGGCTTCCCTTTCTTGGGAGCGAAGGCGGGCTTCCCGGCGTCCAACATGTTGCACAGCTCATCGACGACGGCCTACAGCAACAACGACACACACGGAAGGCGATTCAATCAAGATGACCGCGCATGCAAAACCTCTCCCCGAAATCACACGAGAGAAGGGACATTACCCCCTTGATGACGCGGCGCTTGTCGGTGCCGGCGGCGAGCGTCCCGAGGTCGATGGCGCGCTTGACGCTGGCCTGCATGCCGCGGACCATGTCGAACTGGACGTCGGCCTGCAGGAGCGCGCGGGTGATCTCGTTGAGGCAGTCGCCGAGGACCCTCTCGTCGACGACCGTGGCGCTCGTCATCCGCGCCAGCGCGCGGGAGAGGCTCCCGCCGAGCTGCGCTAGCACCATCTCGCCGGACTCGCGGGGGCGGGGGCTCTCCTCTCCTCTCTGCGGCGAGCGGTTGGCTAGGGCTCGGGGCGAACTGAACCGGGGCAAGACGCGGAGCGCGGTGGTGTGGCAATGCTGGGGGTGGGTTTCGAGGGCAGGCCGCGGGGCTATGTATGTATGATGTGCCTTTCACGTAGTCCGTTGCGGTTTGGCCTTCCCGTGTCCGTGTGGAGACATGAGTTTTCTCCTTTTGCGATTTTTTTAGGGAATTTTTCTTTTGTGAATTGTTTGAGGGAAAGATTAGTCCGGTCGCTCTTCGCCATGAGCGTTCCTCTGGTTAAATCAAGATTTCGAGATGTTGCACATGGTGTTTCGGCATGCTGCAAACGTGTATGGCGTTTGCTGTGTACCGTGAACAGCATGCCGTGAATACGCCATGCAAGCAAAGAAGCAATAAAAAAAGGAGCAGGAAATGATGTATGGCCCAGAATCTGCTCCACCCAAACCTCGACAAACTATCATAAAGCGAGAGAGAGCAGATGTGAGCATGACTAGGAGGTGCTCTAGGCCGACGAAGAGGAAGGCACGGACCAGGAGCTCTAGGCCGACGAAGAGAAAGGCATGGACTGGGAGCTCTAGGCCAACAAAGAGAAAGGCACGGACCGGGACACAAAAAAGGCAAGCTAGGCACCGGAACCTCCAAGCCAATGAGCAGCTCCATGTTACATTGCAGCAACTACCACTAGGGGTGCAACAATGAGGAGATATACACACAAAAATGGCACCAAGCACTTTCCCCTTCCTCTCAAGTCCGCAAAGAAGAAGAGAAGGAACATAGGGGAAGCGGGAAGGAAAGGATATTACACTAGCGAGAGAGATGATTGAGTGGAAAAGTGCAAATGATATCCTTGATTATAGCCAAGCACTCGTAGGGGTACCATGTGGGTCAGTTTTCTAAACTGGCTGCTCTATTTTCTTAACTTTTATATTTTCCAAAATTTTAAATTATATCATTATGTATATTATGCAAAAATATGTACAAAATCGTTCCTAATATGAAAAGCAAAACAAAAAGGCTACAAATATTTCCTATTTTTTATTCTATTATATATTAAAACTATTCATGTACATATTATATAAAAATGTTCATTGAACGTATGGATTTGTTCCAGTTTGTGTACTTCACCGTCCAAGTTTGTGTGGAACCCACGCATTTCAAATTTAAGTTTGACCATCACTTTGACCAATAAAACATTTATTAAGTACCAAAAAAGCTATACCATTGAATTTCTATCCCCCCCAATTTTTTTTTATTTCTAATAGTATGGTATTTATGACACATGACTCTTACATTATTGGTCAAATTGGCAGTAAGCTAAATCATGAAATAAGAAGATGGCATGTAAATTAGGACGAAGGGAGTACATAGAAAAAGAGCTAAATATATCGGAAGTCTTAGAAATTGCATCTGGCGGTCAGTTTGGCACACAAACTTGTAAAATACATGATTGCAGTCATCAAACTTGTCCGAGCGTGCAAATACGATCACATTTCCCATATGCGGACGTTGCCTGCACAACACGCCAGCATGATGAGGCCCCACTGTCAGTGGTTGGTACCAGCTGAGGTGCGGATGCACGTGATATTTTTTTTGCAAAAACACAATTGGATTTTGTTTAACCTCATACAAAAGCCTGTTGGGTCCCATGTGTCAGCAGACGGTGTAAATTAAGTCGCGCGCAACCCGCAACCTGTTGGTCTATAGCCGACGACATGGCCACCCAATCAGAAGATGCTTGGTGCATAATGTGGACGGCTCTCTTTTATAGTATGTTTTACGACCGAAGCACACATTAAGGATTATTTTTCTTTTAAGCAGTATACACATTAAAGTTGGTTTTAAACGAATAAATGAGAGCCGGGCTAAGACTGACCATAGTAGGATTAACTTCGGGAGTAACATTGGGTTCAGCTCAGTAAATTTGCTTATGTGACACTGAGTTAATGAGGATGGAGATAATTGAGTAACTTAGCTAGTTACCATACAATCACATATCTCAATACAATATGAGTCTATAACCTAATAAATAAAGCTTTGCATGATACCACACATATGTTACTACCCACTATGAAGGTAGTAACATAGTCTAGAAAAGCGTTTATGTTACTAGTGTAACTTACTCTCCACTATGGCTAGTCTAACCAACAAACAAAATGTCAGCTGGTGAAGATAAATTTATTTTCTAAATGAGGGTCAGTGAAATTTTCTCAATTCACTTAAAAAAATCATGTTACATTTATTCCGAACTATATTTTCATTTATCTATATTTTAAAATTTAAAAAATTTCAAACTCGATTAAAATTTTCATTGATTTGTCCAAAAGAAATTTATGTACATTCATTCTGAACTATATTTTTATCTAGATTATTAAACCTAAATTGATTCAAATTCAAAAAATGCCGATTTGTCCAAAAATTAGCATACATTCATTCTTAACTATGTTTTATTTCATCTAGATAGTTAAATTTAATATTATTCAAATTCAAAAAAGATTCATTGATTTGTTAGAAAGTTTTACGTACATTCATTCTGACCTATATTTTCTTTTATCTAGAGTTCCAAATTTTAAAATTATTCAAATTTGAACAAAAAATGTTTCATTTGTCCAAAAGAACTTATGTACATTCATTCTGCACTAATATTTTCTTTTATCTTGATTTTTTAATTTCAGATTATTAAATTCAAACAAAATTTTAGTTGATTTGTTAGAAAAAAATACATACATTCATTCTGCACTATATTTCCTTTTATATAGATTTTTAAATTTAAAATTACTTGAATTTAAATGAAAAATTCATTGATTTGTCCAAAAAAATATGTATAATCATTTCACACTATATTTTATTTTATATAAATTTTAAGTTTAAAATTTATTTGATCTAAAAAAATCATTGATTTGTCGATCTTTTTTTTGCCATTTCGGAATTCAAGACCTTTTGCGCTAGTGTAGTACGGTTAGTTTGATTAGTTCGGAAGTCCAAGTCAGTTTGCTAGTCTAAGCCCCATCTTAAATGTGTACTTGGATTCAAAAAAAAAGTGATCTTAAACTAAAGGATATATATAATTTAGCAGTCCTGGCATCAAGAATCATCAGGTTCGGTGGCAAGGACGGCCGCATTTCTGCATCTGGTCGTGGGTTTGAACTCCCGCTCTTTACATTTTCCAGCGAAATTTATTTATACTGTACACTGACATGTGGGCCCCATGGCTTTTCTGCGTAGTTAAAAGAAAACTCCCGCTCTTCATATTTTTCCAACGAAATTTATTTATACTGTACACTGACATGTGGGCCCCATGGGCTTTTGTTCGTAGTTGAAAGAAAATCTGAGGGTTTTGTCACTGACAGTGGGCCTTGGCATGCAACTCAAGCAAATGTAACCGTATTTGCACGTCCACGCAAGTTTAATGACTGCAATCACGTATTTTATAAATTTATACACCAAACTGACTGTCGCGTGTAAGTTGTATGACTCCTAGTGTATTTACCTCATAGAAAAATGAAAATAGAAGATAGAGCAACCAGAAAATGGAAACGCTCTAGACAGGCCAGTCAGACCAACACAAAAAGAGACAGGAGCATCAGGATCTGTATTTTTGCAGCAGAGAAGTAAATTCAGATATGAGCGAACTAACTTCGATATGGTATGCTAGCACGTAGGGCTTGAAACAAAGATGCCAAGTTTATGAATAGACACTGAGACTGGTCATTGTTACGAGCACGGGGCATCAGTACTAGTAGCTGTGAAAAATAAAAGCATCTTCAGAGGTCTCAATAGACCGTTTCTCTCCTGCAGCTCAATACAAACTCGATTTCAACAACCAGAAGAGGCCCCCATACGCTCAAAAAGGCAGAGAAAGCACCGCTTGCATCTACAAGGGCTTTCAGTTCTCCAGTCCAGTTATTATCAATGGACCTAATAAAAGTGCTTTGGCAAAGTTGCCCTGAATCTAACACTCCAGTTGGCCAACTCCTCCTGCTGCTCATTGTTCCTCAGGTCGCAACTAAAATAGCCCCTCCCCTGCCAAAAGGAAGGCTGTTATGACGATCTTATGTGATGAACACATGTTACAGGTTAATGTGATTCTTTATGCACACAAGTCTGTTCACGGACATAGCGAAGAGCACTGAAAAGAACAACAACACGGCCTGTCCGATGGTCTGCACTTATTTACTACTCCCTCCGTTCGGAATTACTTGTCTCGGAAATGGATGTGTCTAGAACTAAAATACGTCTACATACATCCATTTCTGCGACAAGTAATTCCGAACGGAGGGAGTATATGCCATGATGCCTTCCCTTATATAAGAAAAAAAAATGAGATACAGACTGCACTTACTTAACTCTTCCAATGATTTGCTGACATCACTGCCCCCAGATTGAACCAAGTGTATCTTGCCTGAGAAGATTAAATTTCCCATACATCAAAATCATACAAATGGAAATGAACAAATCCAAAAATTCTGTAAATAATGAAAATGACATGAATTCAGAGATGATAGCACAATATACTGAGAGCGAGGGGAGTCCAAATTAAGCTGCATGAAGAACTACATCTAGTCCTTGTTTCCACAGGCAGAGTTGTCTCTCCTTTTATTGAAAAGCAACAGGAGAGCTAGTCCCACTCCCTTTAGGTAGGTCTGTTTTCTGACTAAGCTGCATTTGGTAGGGATGGGTGGGGTACCGCAAGAGAACAAAAATCAGCAGGGAATTCTTCAAGAAATAACTCAGGTAGCTTGTGCTCAGCTAAGACATTTGCATTAGTTTATTTGGCTAACGAATGTTTACAACAAAACAGATTGCCAAAGGAAAGAGAAAATACTTGAACCTCAGATTAACTTACCATCATACCGCACACAGATCTCAGGTACGATTTTCACTAGATTATTGATGTCATCATTGTAGACTCTAGTCTCAATCTCACCCTCAACATACACTGCAGCACTGAATAAGACATAAT